AAGTGTCCCCTTCGTTGCGTTGATTATATACAAATACACGTTTATTTATTTATTTATTTATTTTTGTATTCCCTCCAATTAAAAGTTTATCAATTTGTGCGGTTTTTTCGGTCGCCCTTCCTTCTACTTAAAAAAAAAATACAAGAATTTTCAGCTCAAACAAACAAGGTCCACCCTTTGCGCGCACAATTTTTCCCCCCCATTCCTTCCTTCCTTACATCTCAATCTCGGTAAATAAAACTTAAATTAATGACGGAGGCAAAAGTTACCAGCCAAAAAAAAAAACAATAAATAAGAAGCGAAAATCAATTTAGGTTTTTAATTGCGACCGCTTTTTCCGGGAACTCAAAAAAAAACAAACAAATAGCGTGCGTGCATCATTTATTAAGGCTAATGGAGGCGGCGGCGGTGAGCGAAAAAAAAGAAGTACGAAAAAAAAAAATGTATGTCTTTAATATGGTTAATCTTGGGTTTCGCTTCTTCTTTTTTTTTGTTGGAGTGCATAAGCGGATTAAGGGTGGAGGAGGGTGGATGGTTGGATGGATGGAAAGGGAAGGACCGGAAGAAATCATTAATTAGATTCAAGGGAGGATCTAGTAGTAGTAGTAGTAGTAATAGTATATAGATGGTTTGATGGTCATTCCGGTGACAAATATGATATTGGATCAGCCGAACGGAACGGAAACTATTGCCGCGTATACGGACTTATAATTGGCTAATTAATTTTCCTGCCAGAGATGGAGCGGCCGCACACGAGAGAGAAAAACAGAAAATGATGTCTTATGGTGTTTCCGATGAGGAGAAGGGATGCGATTTATTTTTATTGCGAGCGCATCCGCTCGTAAAAAAAGATGAGCTCTGTGAAAAGTCGAGCGAAAGTATCGGGAATAACAGAGAAATAGAGGCGATGGAAATAAAATAAAATAAATAAAACTAGAAACAGATCATAATTTTAATGGATGGCTGTGAAGCAAGGAGGAGGTGCAGCAAGAATTGTTGGAGTAAATCACGTTTATTGCGGTTCGCGCACGGGACCAAATTTTATGCAATCTCTGTCTATTTCCAATAGGCAACATCTTGGGGAACAGCAATAATCTGCGTAATCTTCACCACTAAATCACCGGCGAAAACTTTATATGGCTTCGTGTGTATTTAGCGACGTCGGGGGCGGCCGTGAAGATGGAAACGCCGCCGCCAACGTTGATGGAGCGCATCGAAAATTGCCGATTATAGGATGGGAGCTCTTCATAAATATGAAGAGGGTGGAGAGACCAGGACCAGGGCCGAAAACGTGCATTATATAATCTAATGGGGGCGCCGGAAAACTTCTGCACTACATAAATTTACATTTCGGAAAACCTAATAGCCCCGGGCTTAATGAATACGCAAGCGAAAACTCGCATTCACATTACACATACATATAGATGCACATGTAAGCGTTAAGTTTGCGTCGCGGGGGAAAAGCGGAAAAATCCCGGCTCTCTACGATTAGATTATCCGGGGGAAAATTATGATTTACCGCCACTTTTCAAATTGCCTTTTCGCACGCACGCACCGAGCTTTGACTTTACAAAAAAAAAGACGCACACACATAATTATCGTTGTTATGTGATTCCACGTGCTTTCGAAACGTCGAGGCTTTCCCTATCAATTTTCCCCGACACAATTCCTCCTCCCTCAAAAAAAAAAAAAAAACAGAAATCATCTCCTTCGCCCCAATTTTATTTTTTTTTGGTGTTGTTTTGTCCCTTGTTAGTTTTAGATGATTAAGTATGCAACGTTCACATAACATAATCCAAAATTTACACATTTTTCCTTCCTTTTGTATTGTACTAAATTGTATTTAATTAATTGAATCTTCAGTAATATAATTTGTGTAATAAATACAAAATTGAGACATAAAAGAATTCAAGGATATTTGAAAAACTATAAACAATAATAAATATGCAGATAATTGCTGATTATATAAGAAATAAAACGTGTTTCAATGATTATGCAATTCAGTAATCAAATTCGAACATTTTACGTTTTCTTGGATATCTAAAAATCTTCTAAAATCTTTAAAAGTAATATAAAATTTGTAAATTAAAGCAAACAATATAAGAAAGGAAATAATTGTAATAAAATAAATGAAAATATTTTAAAAGTTTTATGAAAATAATTGTAAAATTTCTTATAAACAGTAATTAGTGTTTGTCGGTTTTAAAAAACTAGGTTTTTTGAAGAAATTTACTAGGTTTTTGTTGAACACTTGCATGAACACCTATGTAAACACCTGAACGAACTCTTGTGAGGCTTTTCCTATCAATTTTCTCCGAAACAATTTCTCCTCCCTTTGAAAAACAGAAATCATCTCCTTCGCCCCAATTTTTTTTTGGGTGTTGTTTTGTACCCTTGTTAGTTTTAGATGATTAAGTATGCAACGTTCACATAATATTTACAAATGTTTCCTTCCTTTTGTATAATATAATTTGTGTAATAAATAGAAAATTGAAATAATCAAAATAACAATTAAACGATTTTTGAGATGTAAAAGAATTCAAGGATATTTGAAAAACAATAATAAATATGCAGATAATTACTGATTATATAAGAACTAAAACGTGTTTCATACAATGATTATGCAATTCCAGTAATCAAATTTGAACATTTTATGTTTTCTTGGTTATCTAAAAATCTTCTAAAATCTTTAAAAGTAATATAAAATTTGTAAATTAAAGCAAGCAATATAAGGAAGGAAATAATTGTAATTAAAAAAATGAAAATATTTTAAAAGTTTCATGAAAATAATTGTAAAATTTCTTATAAACAGTAATTAGTGTTTGTCGGTTTTTAAAATTAGGTTTTTTGAAGAAATTTACTAGGTTTTTGTTGAACACTTGCATGAACACCTATGTAAACACCTGTACGAACCCTTGTGAGGCTTTCCCTATCAATTTTCTCCGACACAATTTCTCCTCCCTTTGAGAAAACAGAAATCATCTCCTTCGCCCCAATTTTTTTTTGGTTTTGTTTTGTCCCCTTGTTAGTTTTAGATGATTAAGTATGCAACGTTCACATAATAGCGTAATCCAATATTTACACATTTTTCCTTCCTTTTGTATTATACTAAATTTTATTCAATTAATTGAATCTTCTATAACATAATTTGTGTAATAAATACAAAATTGAAATAATCAAAATATTAATTGAGACGTAAAAGAATTCAAGGATATTTGAAAAACTATAAACAATAATAAATATGCAGATAATTGCTGATTATATAAGAAATAAAAACGTGTTTCATACAATGATTATCCATATTAACAATTTCCAATGATCAAAAAAAAGTAAAATTCGAACATTTTACGTAAGTAATATAAACTAAATTTTTTTGAAGAAATTTACTCGCTTTTAGTTGAACACTTGCATGAACACCTATGTACACACCTGCACGAACCCTTGTATTGATAATCACAAATTTGTATAAAAATCAATTAATTATTTTGAAAAAAACAAAAAGGTCGATTTTTGTATAAACCCTATATGTAATTACAATAAAATAAACGTAAAATATTTATAAAAAAATTTACATGAAACTTTGCATTTTTCATATAATTCTATAATAAAATTTAAATAACTCTAATTGCTATGAAATATTTCAATATTATAAATATCAAATACAAAATTTAAAGTTAAAAACTATTTGAAATTGAATAAATTTGGAATGTTTCAATGATACACGATATATCGTATAGAAATTTATTGCAAAGTTGACTAATGGTAAGATAGAAAGAAAGGGGGAATTCCAATTTCCATTCTTCATTTAGTTAGAACTTCCAATTTTAGGTCGGTTTAATGAAGGGAAAATCCAAGCATCAAGTGATTCCCAAATGAAAGATGAAACATCTTGAAATTCTTATTAGAAAACACATTAAATTTATAAGAAATCACATTTTTTAAGATTTTAGTGTTTTTTCTGAAATAAAAATAAACATACTTTTCTTAATTATTAGAAATTATTGTATTTGTAAAGGGTGTCCCAAATATAATGCAAGATTTGAATTTGCCGCCATTTGTGCTGTAAAGTGTTGGAAACCCCCAAAGAAAAAAACAATTTGACACTTTACTGTACAAAGGGCGGCAAATTCAAATCTTGGGTTTAAATTTTTGACACCGTTTATTATTAGAAAAAATTATAAGAAATCATATTTTTTAAGATTTTAGTGTTTTGTGAAATAAAAATAAGCATACTTTTTTTAATTATTGTATTTGTAAAGGGTGTCTCAAAAATTAACGCAAGATTTGAATTTACCGCCACTTTGACACTTTACTGCACAAAGGGCGGCAAATTCAAATCTTGTGTTAATTTTGGGACACCCTTTATTATTACAAAAAAAAAACCTACTGATTTTATATATTGAATATTCATATTTAATGAAGATCCGCAATGACTTTAAATAGTTTTTTTTAGTAAATAGTTCACAAAATATTTAATATAAATATTTTCACAATTTTACCAAAACCTCTGTTTTATTGATAATAAACTAATTAGAAGATGAAATAGAGTATGTTTAAATACTTTAAACTTATCTAATTGTAAACACGTATTCTTTATCACATTGCGTAATTTAATTGCGATAGAACGAGCAAATCGCGATAAATCCAGGAAACGTTTTGCACCGCAATAGCGAAACAATGAGCGACGCAGTTGTCGCATCCAATCTCAATCCGTGGAAAAGAAAGTGATTAATGGAAATCCAAACTGCGAATTCACCGGATATTAAACAGAGAACGGTAAATCCGCAGAGACTTTTTATTTTGGTCTTCCTCGCAAGTAAACGATCCGAACTCTGGGAAATACCCGCAGCCAAAGAATTCCCCTTTGCAGATAAACGAAAACCGTATAAAATCCGACTCATCGGAAACGGCGAGCACACAACAGTTCCTTATCTCAACGCAAACACAACAACTGTGAATTAGTTCTCAAAGTATTTCAATAATTAACAACGAGATGAATCTGAAAGTGATTTTTGTCTTCGCCCTTGTGGTCATCGCAGCTTTGATGGGACAGGCGGAAGCAGGAAGCAAGAGGTGGAGGAAATTTGTAAGTGATGAACGATTTTTTGTGTTGTTTTGATATTAATTTTTAATCGTTTTTACAGGAGAAGAAATTCAAGCACGCGGCGCATAAGGTCAAAGAGGCTTTACCTGTTATACAAGGATACGCGGCAGTCGCTGGCACAGTCGCAGCTCTCGGCAGGAAATAATGATTTCGCTTTAATTTTACTTTAATTTATTCTAACATACTTTTGTACTCTAATGTTTAGTTTATAAGGAAAGAAATATAGTCTAGTTGTTTGTAACCGCAAGTAATTTTACTTAAACGCCACAGATAAACCGCTGCGCTCATAAATTTGCTGATAATGCCACAAGCAAGGACAAAACTGAAATCGTGCTTCCACAAATATGATTGGAAAAATGTTTTCTATACTATACAGTTAGGAAATTAATATTCATAACAAACATTCCGAGTATTTCAAATAATTTCTAAGAAACGCGTCTTCATATTTCAATAAATTTCTCCACAACCACAAGATTTACAATCATATATGAAGATGATTATTAAAGCTAAAAGTATAAAGAATAAAATGAGTGTATTGTTATAATTGTGTCCCAATTAGTTTTCCTGTAATTAATTCTCAAAATTGATATCAATCGAGCAAAAATTAATACAATTTCTTCGTAATTACTATACTTACAATCATAGTTTTATAAAAACGTGTCTTCATATTTCAATAAATTTCTCCACAAACACAATATTTACAATCATATATGAAGATGATTATTAAAGCTAAAAGTATAAAGAACAAAATGAGTGTATTGTTATAATTGTGTCCCAATTAGTTTTCCTGTAATTAATTCTCAAAATTGACATCAATCGAATAAAAATTAATACAATTTCTTCGTAATTATAATACTTACAATCATAGTTTCATAAAAACGCGTCTTCATATTTCAATAAATTTCTCCACAACCACAAGATTTACAATCATATATGAAGATGATTATTAAATCTAAAAGTATAGAGAATAAAACGAGTGCATTGTTATAATTGTGACCCAATTAGTTTTCCAATAATTAATTCTCAAAATTGATATTAATCGAGTAAAAATTAATACAATTTTTTCGTAATTACAACTTACAATCATAGTTTCATAAAAACGCGTCTTCATATTTCAATTAATATCTCCACAACCACAAGATTTACAATCATATATGAAGATGATTATTAAAGCTAAAAGTATAGAGAATAAAATGAGTGCATTATTATAATTGTGACCCAATTATATTTCCTGTAAATAATTCTCAAAATTGATATGAATCGAGTAAAAATTAAGACAATTTCTTTGTAATTACAATACTTACAATCATAGTTTCATAAAAACGTGTCTTCATATTTCAATAAATTTCTCCACAACTACAAGATTTACAATCATATATAAAGATGATTATTAAAGCTAAAAGTATAGAGAATAAAATGAGTGTATTGTTATAATTGCGTCTTGATTAGTTTT